GTCTCGATCCACGGAACCTAGTATTTCTGCAATTAAATTTTTTCCAACACACACAAGTTTCTATCCCGTTAAGATGCAATGAAAATACACCCGGTATAGTGGTGCAAACATGGTTGCAGTGAGAAACATCGTTTACGGTTGTGCACCGATCGAAGCTCGTATTGTGGTTTTAGGAGGGTAGTTCACCCCATTGCTGCCGCTTTCAAACAGTTGTGACTAAATCGACATTGTTACTAAATCGCCATTAACTTTTGGCAAGTGGTATGACCAGAGTGTTATTTATACCACGGATACATAGAGATATTACTTAAAACAATTCGATTCCGCGGTACCACAAACTATTAGAAAGTAGCTATATTAATGTCGCGTTTCGTTCCTTTATAGATTTTGCTCCGTTTAACTTCAATGAAGATATAATTGGATTCATTTCTCATAATTGTAAGTTTATCAAATATATATTTGTGATTCCATCTGTTAAATATAGTAAGATTTAAGCTGGCGAACAATATGACGTCTTTTGAGGTGCTATTTCACACTACGTTATAATTTTATATCTTGTACGTCAATACAGCTTATTATTATAATTATACAATTTATGTATTCTTTAAATTTTTTGGAGTCGAAAGAGTGAAAATTGAACCAGTTTTGTAAAAAGAGTAGTTTAATTTTTTCAATGTTTAAGAGTGAGATTTCACTCGTCAGAGTGAGATTCTAAAAGTTTTAGAGAGTTCGTATAATTATATCTTCTATTTTTTGTAAGAAAGAAATAAATAACGTGAGTAATATAATACGAGAATACAAGATATTATTTTTAGATATGATTCGATGCATTTATTATTTGGAAGGTTAATATTGTTAATTAACCATTTGCCATTGTTCTCTTTCGATGGCTCAATAAGAAAGCGTGTATGTAAGGGAATCTAAATTTAGTCGAGTTCTGAGCTTCGTTTAATTGCCAAAGACTACACGACGATGATAAATGTCCAGTGCGTGACATGACACGCTCCTTCCTTGATAAAACGTGGTCGGGAATCACATTTTTTCACGTATTATCCTTTGAACAATCAATAATTTGACAACTCGATATTATTATTTATACATTATGTTATTAATAGCTGTGCGGATTTTGCTTCGGATATTTAAGTTCTAAAAATTATTATTCGTACACAGTTTGATTTCTTCGATTTCATTGCTTTCATGTTTTACATAATAATAACAATTCACGATCGTAAAAAATTAACCGATGTAATACCAATTTTCTGTAATTGGAATCTACTCAACACAACTGGATTATAAAATTCCAAAACAAAAACTTTACTTGGATCTTACTGCGACATAAAGTATACACTTTACTTTAAAGTATGACACTTATATGATCTCCAAACGTTTGTGTTCAATCAAAACGTCTTTAAAAAAAAATAATTACTCTCCTCCAATTTCCTTCTAATATATATTTGTAAGCAAATGAAAATATTTCGTCGCTTTCACTTCTTCAAATTTTTACCTTTTTCCGTATGTCATCTTTTACCGATAAATATTCTCAAATTTTGAAGATTTATCTTTTAACTTCAAACAATTCCCACACACAATTATTGCATTAAGATGATTCATAGGATTGAAGCGTGATTAACAAGGACAGTAGTGACGAAGAGGAATGCACGCGAGATCGGCAGAATGACGACAATGTGGCAGCATATGTAAATAAATGACGCGGGAGGGGGGAGGG